CCTGGGTCAAGGTTAAATTACCACTCCAATGTTCACCTCTAAAACAGCAATCATGGTGATAACAATGTTACGTGACATGCTGGGTAGGTAAACCATTGTGCTCATGAGATGGTAGCTGTCATTCCTTTCTCAGTCTACCTGGATCAGAAGATTTAACTCTTTTTCTATTGTTTCAAAACAAGCATTGATTGACAATAGTTTGTCTATAGATTTTTTTTTTAAATCCTAAAAACTCCAATAGTGACCCACAACCCATATCTACAATTCTGAAAAACCTTTGAAAACGGAAAGTGTATTCCTAACCCATGTGGTCACTCTATCTGGCTTGGCCCAAACTATAATTAAGGAGTCAAATCTGACTAGCCTATTTATAGTAGAGTTTATTGATTCCACTTACATGAACACTGTGTGAATATCTATTCCATCTATATGAATACCATTTCACTGCAGAAACACACAATGTGTTTGATTTAACAGCACTGCCTCAGACTTCCCCCGCTAGGGGCGGTGATACAAACGGCACATAAAAGCATTATATGCCCTGCATTTCCTTTTCAAAATCTTAAATCTAAACTCCTACATACAGAAGTACCACTACAGGTGCCCTACATGCAACAATGACTTCCTATACGAGTTTATGAACTGGGTATTAACTTGTCATTCCTTTGTCCTTCCCTCACTCCACACAATACACACACACCCAAATCCCAAAGTACCGAGGCTGACCTCACTGCATTAGGTGAGTTATGATTTCTACTATTACTTTCCTGGGCTTTAGTCTCAGATCGTCCACTATTTATGTGCCCTTCTGCACATATTCAGGCCTCGATATCCTTATGCATAAAATATCAGGTAAACAAGCTTGAAAAATGTATCTTCTAGAAAATTAAGATGTCAGCCAAGACAGCCAAGTGGCCTCAGTACAATATGAAGAAGTGGCTGGTTTCTGAAAGAGTTTTCATGACATCAAAATCAAGGACAGTGTTCCAAGATTCCATAGAAATGATCTCTCTACCAAGTCAACAATCCCCTTCCAATACTCTTAAAAAAAATAAATAAATAAATAAATAAATAAATAAATAAATAAATAAATAAATAAAATAAAAGAAAAAAGAAAAAAGAAAAAGAAAAAGATTCCTATATAGCATATGCCACCTCTGGGCAAAACTAAAAAGCAAAACAACTATTCTTGAGTACTTGTGTTTCAGTTTCAAACTTACTGTGACGTTTAAATTCCTTCTGTAGTTTGCTGATCTGGTTGCTTTTTATCCTGTTTCCAGATAGAGTTTTCACTTTCTTTGGTTTCAGTGTAGTCTTCAGACTGGGTCCTGCCCTTGCATCTACCACCTGGAAGAAAACACTGAGTATTTAATACCATTTTAAAATGACACCTCTGTATTCCTTTGGTTCAGACAAATGCCTATTTGAAGGAGCCCAATTTCAGAACCACAGTTTCCTATTAGTGTTTGAGAGTCCGTGTGAATCTTCTTTTTTTTATCATTACATGAAATTTAAAAATAATTTACTTCTAACCATTATGCTGTACACCTGAAATTAATATAAAATTATATTGAATGAAAACTGTAACTGAAAAGTAACATTTTTAAAATAAACAAAAATTACAGCATATCAAGGAAAAATAAAGAATATTTTATATAGTGGGAGGGTTGTTTTATTTTTTTTTAAGTAGGTAATAGTAGGAATCTGCTGGACAAAGACTTTATTTATTTATTTATTTATTTTAATATATTTTATTGATTTTTCACAGAGAGGAAGAGAGAGGGATAGAGAGTTAGAAACATCGATGAGAGAGAGTCATCAATCAGCTGTCTCTTGCACACCCCCTACTGGGGATGCGCCCGCAACCAAGGCACATGCCCTTGACCGGAATCGAACCCGGGACCTTTCAGTCTGCAGGCCGACGCTCTATCCACTGAGCCAAACCGGTCCCGGCTGGACAAAGACTTTAAATAGATTTATATATGGTAAGAATGGCCCATGTAGGTTAAGAAAAAATAAATCTAACAATTATCATTTCTATAGGATGCTTTGTAGCTTATAAAAAGCTTTCATATACTTTTGATTTCACCTTTACCACAAAGCAGTAAGGGGGATATTTTTGTTACTCCAATTTTAGAGTGAAGGAAAACAAGAGAAATTAAATTACTTTCTTCACCTACGCTAGTGAAAAGGGCAGGGTGAGTGGGAGGGGGACAAGACTCAAATCAAGGTGTTCAGACCTGTGCTGTAAACTCTCTTCACCACCCACTCCTCACCGGAGGGCACTTATATGACGGCAATGGCACATTCTCTCCCATCTAGCATGGACATGGACATGGCTCAGCCAGTATGGTCCCATTTCTCATGCACTCATCCATATTTACTACTTGCAGATTTCTACCCTTATAATGAAAGGTTGCCATCACCTTCGAAATCAACATTTGGATATCCTCTGGATGAGGCATTGAAGAAAAACTCATTTTTTTTTTAAACTAAGTTAACAACCCTCAGAAACCTACCATAATAATATAAGTCACCAAAGACTAGTATAAAGCAAGTATGGGGGGGAAAAGTAAAAAATAAATGACTGCCTGCTTAAAAACAAATTAAGTTGTATAAATATCATAAATCTTCTGAAAGCTAGCAAACAGAAGCATTAAGTTAAGTCCCAGTGCTGTTCTGGTCATCAAATATATTTTATGAAGAATTCTAGTGAAATTACCAAGTGGAAAGGTCAGAAGAACACATTTATACACCAGTTTGGTCTCAACTAGATTTAAACATAGAGGGTAACAACAGCTTTCATCCAATTGAGTGATTACTATGTTATACTTTGTCTCATTCAGTTCTCACAACCACTCTGAGACAGCTACTATCTTTATGCTCTACAAATAAATGTAACTTGCCTGAAATTCACAACCAGGAGGTGATAAATCCAGGCCTGATTAAAAACCTACAGGCTCATTAGTACCAACAGGAGTTAGGATAAATGTCATCCTGAGAGATTGAAAAAAAGGCTCGTCTGATTAACTCTAAGAATTTCTGGGTTAAACCTAAAAATATGTGAAATGTATATTGTGAATTTCTGGGGGCAGTGGATACACTTAGGGAAATGCCACACAAGCTATTGTGCTCCCAAACAGGACAAAATGTGAAACAATTTTATCTAAGTGGCAACTGTTTTTCTTTATTCTTTTCATACTTTTCCATCCTAGGAACATTATTACTTCCTACATAGGGGGAAACCAATATTAACAGGTATAATTGAGAAAGATGACAGATGCACTAACGTGATTCCAGTTTTTTTTGGATCCTGCTGGCAACTTCTTCCATCTTTTCACAAGCAGGACACAGGCATTACAGATGTCTCCTGAACGTGTCTCATGCAACCTGATAAGAAAACAACCAAGCCTTTATTGGTCTCCTTTACATTAAGGAATTCAAGCTGTACATTCCTTAAAAAAAAAAAAAAAAAAGAAGAAGAAGAAGAAGAAGAAGAAGAAGAAGAAGAAGAAGAAGTTGTTCCTAGATGCTATCTCTAATCGCCCGGGATGATCCAGTTCCACTGTTTCTGTCATATATTTAAAAAATATGATTAACTTCCAGATCCAATAAACCAAATTTTTATATGCTGCGAAATAATGTTTTAAAAATTTAATAATAGTAAAATTTAGACCTAGAAGAGATCCTGGTCACCAGGGTTTTAAACAATACTGTCCAATTGATCTTTCTTGAAATAGGTATAGATGCTTCGTAAGCAACAAAATGCCGTACTTTAAAATAACGTGTGATGGCTCTGGCTGGGTGGCTCAGTTGGTTGAAGCGCTGTCCCATGCACCAGCAGATTGCAGGCTGAATTCCAGGCAGGGCATGTGCCTACGTTTCTGTTTGCATGTGGGTCAGGGCGAGTGCAGAAAGCAACCAGTAGATGTTTCTCTTTCTCTCTTCTCCTCTTCTCTTCTCTTCTCTTCTCTCTCTCTTTCTCTCTCTCTCTCTCTCTCTCTCTCAAAAATCAATAAAAACATGTCCTTGGGAGAGAATTAAAGGAAGGAAAAAAAGTAAAAACAATAAAGGGAAAAAATAATGTGTGATGGTATTCTAGTTTCACAACTAACAAAACCAGAGGAACTATAATTTTAAAGTTATTATGTCTGCTAAAGGAGAAAAAAATCTATGAAACTGGTCACCAAGTTGTTATATCTCTGAGGAATTTCCATTTATTACATTTGTCCACATAAGAAAAATAATGATAATATTTATTATGTACACAATTGGAAATGAAGACATTAGGAGGAAATTTAAAAAGGTAAGGTCAGTGAACTCTTTTTGACAACCCTGAAAATAAATACAAAGTCTAGGATTGATAATAATCAACAAATGTTTTGATAAGAAAAACAAAGTGATGAAATTAATTTCTAACGTGGGAACTAGTTTAATATTATGTATTTTATTTCATCCAAGGGTTTGTTGGGAAGTAAATTCCACTTCATTAAGCAGTGGATTATTGTCAAAAGATAATGAAGAAAATTTATATCAAAATGCTAACATACCCTGACAGGTTTCAGGGCAGAACATTAAGTCTTATTACTATCTTCAGCAGGTTAGGTTAAAATACATTCCTATAATTTAGAAAAACAATATAAATGACAGAAAACTACGGGAGGATAGCTATTATAAGAGAAAATAAGGGTAATTTTTAAAATCTCTTTATACATACTGAAATTAATGAATAGAAAGGGTTTGTTTGGTTACAACTTTGAAGTGGATTCCAACTATTCAGTAGTTCCTCATAATCTGAAAAAAAGGTAGGCTGTCAGTATGTTAGATTGGTTTTAAGAGCAAGGGCCTTCAAACAGCCTAGATGAGAACATAAGTGATTTTAAATGTTAGCCACATTGCTCCAATCGCCTTGCTGGGAAATATTTCTGTGTGCTGTGACCTATTTCACGCTAAGGATGATACAAACATCAGATGATCTTACCCAAAGCAGCTCTGGAAATCCTTCTCATAGCGTTTACTGTCTGTGAATCGAGAACTGGAGGACTTCGCTCTGCAAATACAGCAGCCTTCTATACTTCGGTACATCTTTGGCTTGTGAAAACCAAACATCTTTTCTTCTAGGCAAGTCTGTAAAGCCAAGGGAATTGACTCAGCTTGGTGGAGGGCTATTAACAAGAAACCACTAAAGGAGAGAGCGCTCTCTGCTCCACCCCACCCCCGGCACTTGGTATTACACAGCCGAGCCGGAGAGCAGGGCTCCGCGGAAGACCTCTCGCATCTCCCTCCACTGGCATGACAAGGGTGTAAAACACCCAGAACAGCTCAGCTATTTAACAAGGCCTCTACCATCTCCTCCTCCTACCTTTCTGGCAAACCCTCATTCTAAAAATAGGGGATAGGAGGCATTAAAAAAAAAATCGAGTTTTAAGTAGAAAATACAACTCTGTCCACAATCCTATAAAACGATGGAGTCAGCCGCAATGAAGGGTGTGCCTTCACATTTAAGCTGAGGCACCACCCTTTATGCTGCACCTCTGCCTTCGTGTGATTCCCCTCTGGGGAAGTTGTGAGCATTTGCCATGACCACTAATTGTTTGATACTAAGCACACAAGTCATGCATCAACGCACACAACTTCTGCGCTATGGGACACGACAGGGGATTTCTTCTGTGACAAATGGGAAGTCCTAAACAGGCAAGTTGGCCCTGAATTGAAACTACAGAAAGGAGGATGTAAAATTCACAAAAATCCAGTTAGGCTGTAAGAGCAATGATTTCATAAATCATGAAGATGAGTTAAGAATAAGCTCATTGGTCTGCCTCTCAGTTGTTACAGCGGTTTTAGGAGCTTTTACCAGGCTCTGTGCCTGAGCACAGTAATAGTGAGGATGGGAAGGTGTTCAGGAAATGTAGAGTCATGCAAACTGAGATTCCGATGATCCAAAAATTTTCACGTCAAGCAAGGAAGGAAGGAATAGCTCTAGGGCTAGATGCAGCAAAAATGTAGCAGACTAGAAGTAATTTATATGTGTACATTAGAAGTAATTTAAAATATCCAAACCAAGGGCCAGCTTTACCAGAACATCTGGACAAAAAGAGGTGATGAAAAGGCAATGAATCTAGGAACTAAACCTCAAGGGACAAGTCCAGAGGGTGTGGGTGTGTGTAAGAGACCAATTAAAATTATCACAAAAGCATCACAGAAAGTATCAGTTAAATAGATTATTAATACTAATTAGATTTGTGACCATAGTTTTGGGACTTGTAACCACAGAACACCATCCTCCTTTGTAAAGTTCTTTTAAAAATATACGTGTAAAACAAAAACTTCAATATTTGTCTTTGAATATTCTCTTGCCTGACCCCATTCCATTCCAATCCCGGTTACTATACCAGAGCAAATATTTAAGGAAGTGATTCAGAGAAATAACCAAATATCCAGGCATTTTGTTTGTGTGTGCATGAAATTGAGGGGTTCTGAAATACAGACAGAGGCTAAGAAAATATTTTATTAGCAATCCATCAGCTAAACACTGGAGCTTTCCTTTTAAGCGGAGACTTCTGTTCACCAAAAGTTCATTAATGTTTTTGTTGGTGAGGGAGAGAAGGGAGATGCGATGGGGCAGAAGGCCCCTGATTCATTTCATTAAGTCTAAATAGTTACTTCAATTTAAGAATCGTTAAAACAAGAAAACAAAATATTCCTGGCTGATAATAAATAGCTGTTAAATGAAATACTGTGGAATTTTATTGGTTTTTAGAAGGGGGGGGGGGGTGAGGAAGGTGCTCTATACACAGCAGGAAAACAGTGTAGTGAGGCCTGTGAAATAAGGCAGCTATCAAACTAACAACCAGGCTTCATGATAAATGAAAACAAAATGCCCTCCTGGAGAAAATCATTGCTTTGGGGGGGGAAAAAAACAATGTCAAATGACACAGGATCATAGAAATGTTTTTTTAAAAAAAAGGTCTAAGAAAGTGTAAGTTATTGCTTTAACTTACCTATTCCTGTTTTGCAGCAAAAAAAAAATTAAAAAAAATGAAACACAACTGTCTGATCCTCACACCAACCTTGGGCTCCCAAAGTCCCCGAACCCTCCCTATGACCACCACGAAGGTCAAAAGTCCACAAGTTCCTCTTACGGTTGCCAGCTCCATCAATAGCCCTGGGAAACTTCAGCCTCCCTTCTCAGCAAGGACAAAGGAAGTCCAGCAGAAAGGCCAGTTCATTCCATGAACACACAGACCAAATCCTACTATTACAAAAGGCAGATTCCTATATCTCTACCCTCACAATCCCCCGTCCTCCCACAAATAAACAAGCCATCAGAAACTGCGCCGCCTCCCGATCATCTCCAATGCATGAGCTACCTTCACCCAGGCGGGATGTGACCACGCAGCCAGTCATCAGGCTGACAGGCTGTGAAGGAATGCAGGGGCTCCAGCCTTCTACACCGAGGAAACACTGAGGTTTCCTTTTCATCAGCCGCTCTGGTGAGGGCATCGGTGTGTTCATTTCCGATGATTCCTTTTGGCAGGGCGGTCTCCACACAATGTGCCCAACAGTGTCGTCGTCCCCCCCCCCCCCCCCCCCGCAAGGTATTTCATTCTTCAGTTTGAAGAGTCTTTTTCTTAAGGCATCCGGGAACATAAAATAGCTGGATGTCTTCTGATGGGCCAACCTTTCTGCAGCTCTGTGACCTTATGTTTTCACTGACAAAAATGCTTCTGTCTAAACATCGCAGGGGGATCTAAATCCTAGGGTTCACCCTCTTCTAGGAAGTGCTACATTCAGTAAAAGTGCCAGAAACACGTGTCCTAATACAACAGACAAGGAAGTAGTGCAAGAACCTTTTAAAGGACAATTATTGAATAAACCCCTTAAAACTTTTCTGAGCTTGTTTCAGTACTTGAAAGGCACCTGGGAATCTGCAGCGAATACACAGGGGTTTCACTTCGGGCTTTGTTTACAGCAACCCCATTGAGTAATGGTTGGCTTTAACCAACCACTCTGAGTTTTAGGGAGCCCAGAGATTAACTGAAATTTTTTTCACAAAATCTATAGATGCACTAAAGCTTTTTAAAAAAAATTAAACAAACAAACAAACAAAAACAAACACCTACCTGATCTGTGGAAGGAAACCAAGCACACAAAATGGCTCTGAAACCAAGTTACTTTGTTTTGTGTCTGTTTATGTATGCACATAGATAGATAGATAGATAGATAGATAGATAGATAGATAGATAGATAGATAGATACAGAGAGAGAGAGAGAGAAGAAAAGGAGGGAGGGAAGAAAGAGGGAAGGAGGAAGAGAGAGAGAGATAGAGATATGACTGTGGTAGAAGTTGATTGTAAACTTGGGATGTTTGTTATTTCAACGAACCTATAGTTCTTTAGAATACTTTTTTCCTAGTCCTGCATTTATGCAATATTAAATGATTCCTCCAGAACAATCCGTTTTATTTGTTCAAATGGTACTTTCAGCTATTAAACTACTCATAACTTTTGTATCTTTCTCACAGCATCATATCACTCAGCACTATGTTTTAATATAATAGAAGGAAGCTAACACCCTCTGTTTCCTAATTAATGAACAGTTACACATGAGAGTGGACCCCATACAATCTCACCCTTATGTGTGTGCTTAGGGAAAGCAGAAGAAAATTAAGCTTTAAGATAAGGCCAAAAATGAAGAAAGTCTTTAAAATGCTGATTAAAAACTGTCATTTGTCTTGTAACATTCAGATAGTGATGATGAGTGCAAAACTCTGTAAACATACTAAAAGCCACTGAATTGTACTATTTTAGAGTAAATTTTATGTTATGATATGTGAATTATTTCTCAATAAGCTTGTGTTTAAAATGGAAATAGGCCAAGCTAAGAATTCTGTCTTTATTCATCTTTGTAAACTCAGCATCTAGAATAGTGCGTTCAGTAGATACTCAACTTCTTTGAAAAGCTGATTTGTATAACACATCATGTTTTTTGAAGAACTTTCATTGACATTATTATTAATTTTTTGAGGGGGCTACTGTCATCCAGAGAGCCACAGAATTTTACTATACTATAACAGTTCAGCCACACTAAAATTGCTGTTCTGTCCAATTTAGTTCAATCTCCCAAAGTTAAAAAGATTACATTTAATAGCCAAATCAGAAAACACCTTATTATATTGACAACTAAAAGTGAATTTTTAAAATGTAATAATTAATTGGAAACATTTGTTTTGATTGATTTGTTGAGATTTCTTCCACTTTAAAGCTGTAATTTCATAAACATCTAATGACCAACTCAATGAAATGATGGGGAATGTAACCTTAGTGTTGAGACAGGAGAAGGTGTAGAGACCACTTGTATATCACAGATACAAAAGAGACAATTTGAAATTAATCTAATGAGGTTATGAAGCCAAAGATCAGGGTCAATGTCATAAGGTGAGTTTACTGAGTATAATACAACATAAGTGGGAAAGAAAAGGAATCTTCACAGCAACAGCCAATACTGAAGGGATATTATTCAAGGAAAAATCTTGTGATAAGTAACTCTAAGCTCAAAGATGGTCTCTTATTCATTTTCAGCCTTAGAAAGAATGTAGCACACATCTGCAACATGGGCAGGGAGGGAACTAGCCAAGATACTTTGTCCTGTGCAATAAGCAAGCTGAAAAATAGATATAAAGTATAATCCCATGGCATGTTTTTAAAATGAGATCTCAAACTTTAAAAACCTGACATTTAAAAATGGATTTTTAAAAACTGGTAGCTAGCGGTTGCCTCTGGGGGGTGCAAGAATGAAGGAAGTTTACTTTCACTTTACTCCCTTCTATATTGCTTTTTTTTTTTTTTTTTTTTTTTTTTACTACTGCCTTTTTAAAATTCAAGAGTACAATGCCCCAAAACCTTAAGTTACCATCACATCTTGACTTAACTAAAGAGGAACCTGAAAAGGCTTGAACCAACTTCCTCAAAGACTCACAGATAAAGATATACACATTAGGAAGTACATTAGGCAGGAGAGAAGACAGAATGGACTAGTAAGATCAGACTAGACAGAGAGCAGAATGGGAAGGAAACTGCAGAGAAGAGACAAGCGAACGATTTGTCAAGTGGGAAGGAAGCAGAGGTGA